GCTGGAGAAGGATGTCATGCTGGGTAAGATGGAGGGTCAGAGAAAAAGAGGAAGACCCCCAACGAGATGGATCAGCCAGGTGGCATCATAAATGACTTCAAGTGTGGCAGCGGTAGTGAGGTTGGCCCAGGACATTGTTTTGTTCTGCTGTGCATGGGGTCGCTGTGAGACAACAACAACAACAACAGTCTTTACAGAAATAGCTATCCAGGCTTTTCTTTCATGGAGTTGCTGTATGGATTTGAACTACCAACCTTTAGGTTAGTTGTTGTTCAGTGCCGTCTAGTTGGTTCTGCCTCATAGTGACCCTGTATAGGGTTTCTGAGGAATAGCTGGTGAATTTGAACCTTCGACCTGTGTTTCAGACCAACTTTGTGGTCAAGTGCTTATCTTACAGCACCACTAGTAGTCTAGTGCAGACTATTTGTTTCACCCAGGTACCTGAAACAAGATTTAGCAATATGTTGACAACTTTGTCAGGATTCATTGTATTCTATATACTATTGAAAAAGAATTCCATTATATTTTGATTCCACTTTTGATGCTCCTTTGTATATGAAAATTTCCACTTTAAACGTAAAAGGATAGGAGTGTCACATCTTAAAACTTGTATGAATCTCTTAATTCTGTGATTTTTCTGTAAGCCAGCAATTTTTAATTTACACCCCCTGTGGACAGGCTTCAAGGAACCTTAAACATTCTGAATTTATGTCAAGCTTTTGATTTTATAAGTGCTTTCCAAGAAGAGAGTCCTTAGGCCAACTATTGTTTTTATAATACATAGAAAGCAAAGAAATGCTAGAAACTCCTCTCTCTCTAGCAACCCTTTAGCACAAATTAGAGTTAATTCATTTTAGTGCAGTTTTGTGGATCTCTTATTCCTAGGGCCTAAACAAAACAAGAACAACAAAAACATTTGACTATTCTACTAGATTAATTCAATACATAGGCCTCATCATTTTTCACACATTTTTTAAAAAGCATCTCTACTTGACTTTTTATAATTACTCCTTTCAGACTTTGCTATGGCTTTAATAAATGTGTAAATTACTTCCTAATGTTTATATTACTTGAAAGGAACTCTGGTAGCATAATGGTTACGAGTTGGGCTGATAACAGCAGTTCAAAACTACCAGCCCTTCTGTGGGAGAAAGATGGGGCTTTCTGCTACTGTAAAGATTTACAGCCTTGGAAACCCTATGCAGGGTCACTATGAGTCCAAACTGACTCCACGGCACATAACCACCACTAACCATCATAGTGCTTCATTCTTTAGAATAAGTTCATGTTTGACTTTTTAAAAAATTTTTAATACATGGTTTGTGATATAAAATGATAGTAAAGCATATATTTCATCAACAGGATTAAGTTTCAACAGTAGGAAATTTTTTTGAAAATTAGATACTTAACCCTGTTTCATGGAGCCTTGGTGTGACACCGAGGGATAATGCACTGGACTGCAAGGTTAGTTTGAACCACAAGGTCAGTGGTTCAAATTCACAAGCTGCTCCTTGGAAACACTACACAGAGTTGCAATGAGTCGTCATAGACTCAACAGCAATTAACAACAACAACCCTTTTTCAAAGCAGGTGGGTTTTATCAGATGAAAACAAACTGATCACACAGTGAAACTGAAATTTACATCTTATTGAGTATATATATATATATATATTATATATTATATTGGTTTAGTTGACTGACATGAAGCAGAAGAGAAGACTCATTTAGAAAACTGATAAATGTTTTAAAAAGTGACATATTTCTCTCTGATCTATCAATTATAGATTCAAAAATTAGCTAAGGATTTTAACAGGGCTATCTATACATGTTTGCTAAGGAACTCTGGTAGCGTAATGGTTACAAATCGGGCTGTGAACCGCAAGGTCAGCAGTTTGAAACTACCAGCTGCTCCGCGGAGGAAAGATGAGGCTTTCTGCTCCTTAAAAGATTTACAGTCTTGGAAACCCTATACAGGGTCCCTATGGGTCGGAACCAACTCGACGGCATTTAACAACAACATACATGTTTGCTGGTAGCGTAGTGGTTACGAATCAGGCTGCAAACCGCAAGGTCAGCAGTTTGAAACTACCATCTGCTCCGCAAGAGAAAGATGAGGCTTTCTGTTCCCATAAAGATTTACAGCCTCGGAAATCGTGTTCAGGTTCGCTATGGGTCGGAACTGACTCAACAGCACTTAACAATACATGTTCACAAAATATTTAACTTTGACTAACTCTTTTTATGCCATATTTGTTGATTTTTATGTCGTGTTTCTTGATTTTTAAAATAGATCTTTTTTATAGTTTTATTGTTTCAACTTACTTTTTCTTGTTTCTTTTCTTCTTCATTCTTTGAAGAACCCAGTGTTAGAATTCGTTAATTACCAGCCTTGGTTTTGTTAGCTGCTGTCCAGTCTTTCCCTTGTGCACAATTAAACAGGTTTAAGAGAGAGTTTTCTTTCTCTTTCACTTCTGAAGGCATGTCTTTGCCTCTTCTGAGCCTTTGCTCCTGGGCAGTGTTCATAAGCCTTGGCATCTCTCTTCCCCTATCTCTGCTTGCTTGTTTGATCTGTCTTGTATTTCTTAAGAGATTGACTCAATATACACCCTACACTAATACTGCTTCATTAACACAGATACTCCATTTCTAAATGGGACTATGGCCACGGGCATCTGAGTCAGAATGGACACTACAGCACTTAACAACAACAACACAGATTTCCAGGCCTTTGTTCTACACTGTCTCTTGGTGAATTCAAACTTTCATGCTTTGGGTTACCAGATAAGCAAACCATTTGTATCACCTAGGCTTTATTGTCAGTACAACTTGTATATAAGTGAATGAATGTCAGTTTAGTAGAATGTTAATGAAATGAGGAATTGAAATTAAATTGGAAGGATCAAAAAATAAATCTGCTAGATGAGTTGTTCAGAAAGTATTAAAGAAGCTAACTAAAAATGTTTCTCTTTAGATGGAATCTGCCTGTGTTTCAATTCATGAAGCTCTGAAGTCTGTCATCGACTATCAGACTCATTTCCGATTGAGAGAAGCTCAAGGCCGGAGCCGAGCAGAGGATCTAAATACAAGAGTGGCCTATTGGTCAGTAGGAGAGGCCCTCATTCTTCTGGTGGTTAGCATAGGGCAGGTTTTTCTTCTGAAAAGCTTTTTCTCAGATAAAAGAACCACCACAACTCGTGTTGGATCATAACTACGTTTTGAAAATTGCATTATTGCCACTGTAATATTGCTGTCCTCTAATTGATTTTAGATACCGAAGAACTTAATATTGGCAACGTTTTTTAAATCTTAACTCATATACTTTTGGGGGGGGCACATATGATGTAAATCCCCAAACTGGAAAGGACACTTGGTTGTTTTTGGGTTTTTTTGTAAAGGTGGAAAAACTTAGAAACTTATTTTGGGCTATTCATGTTAAATATTTGACACCAATGTTCTGCTCTTTTCTTGGTTGTTTATATCTATTAAATGTTGGTATTTTGATTCTTTTTAGTCATTTAAAAGTACTTTTTCTTATAGGTAGTTGATATTTTAAAAACTTTAGATTTAAAGTCTATATATATGTTGTGGAGGAAGAAACTTGCCCTTTAATTGTTAATAGTGAATAAATTTTTTTGTTCTAAGAAAACCAGATTTGACTAACCATAGCTCAAACCCTGTTCTGCACTGTTTGATTTTGGGGGGAAAGAAGGAAAAAAAAATTCTACCATAGAAATGTTAGTTAATATGATCATTTTAAATTGATACATCATGGTATATAATTTATTTCTCATTAGCTTAGAAAGTGTCAGAATTTTGTTTGGGGGATTTATTTTATGACTTATAACCAGATGTTATTTTTTCATAAAGGCATTCTTACCACTCAGAATAACAGTATATTTCAATATCTTAATGCAGTTTATACAGGCCTTAAAAAGTCAGACTGTTATAATAAGTAAAATATTAACAGAATAATTGTGGACACTTAAGTGGAGGCAAATTAAATGGGCAAATTTGTAGTGAATTATCTGCACGTATTATATTTCAGCAACAACCTAACATTGCGTTTCAGTACTTTTACAAAGGAATAAGATGGTCCCTTTCATTTAACAGTTGAATTGGTTGGTTCTTAATCCATATGTAACTTTACTGTCGGAGTCATTCCTAGCTTAAATTGACAGTTGTAATATTAGTTATCACATAAGTGCCATACATTTTCTCCTAATGGGTGTGATGCACTGAGAAGTTAGGTTTTTTATTGTTTTTGCTTTGCACATGCAATTTCTATAATCTGGTTAGTATCTCTAAATGATTGAATAATTTAGAATGCTTATATGTGTGTATACCTTACTAGATAATTTTCATTGATTGTATTGCATCTAATGAGTATTAAATATTGCATATCTGTGCACTAGAAGGTTTTAGACTGTGTTTGTATCTTATATAGATTGAGCCAATTGAAGTAAGCTTTTCCTCCAGGTATTATAGAAGGGAATGCAAGATGGTCCAAAATTGTATAGATTTTTAAAGTTTTTTGCTCATTAAAATTGCAACTGCTTTTCTGCCATGCCCTCCACTTCCAGAGCGATGAATGCTGAATAAGTCTATCATATCATTTGTTGTTTTTAAGTGCTGTTGAGTCAGTTCTGACTCATAGAGGCCTGTGTTTACAAAGAGCACTGGTGAGTTTGAACCATCAACCTACAGTTAGCAGTCCAGTGCTTATCATACAGCGTCACACCAAGACTCCATAGTGTACTGTCTCTGATATATTGTAGCAGATAGAGTTGTCTAAATAGCAATTCTGGTCATTTTACCACTGCTAACCAGAAGTTGATTCTTAATTTTAGTCTGTTAAAATACATACATACATTTCTACATTCAGAAGCAAAATTCATTGAGGTTGTCATGCTTGCTAATTTCAAATTCCACAGTATAGCAAAAGATGAACATATAAACTTTCTGAAAACCAAATAGTTACTATGTCAGTGAATTTAGAACTAAAGTTTAACATTTTATAGATTTATCTATTTGAATCCTTTATTGTTGTGGAATCTCTAAGTATCCCCCTATATTTAGATCTGAACGTTTTAAGCATTAATGTTAACATAATTAATGAGCATTGTTGTTAAGTGCTGTCGAGTTGGTTCCAACTTACAGTAAACCCTGTAAAGGGTTTCCAAGGAGTGGCTGGTGAGCTTGAACTGCTGATCTTGTAGTTCAAACCGACCTTGTGCATTAACCCACAGCACCTCACCAGGATAAGTATATGTAAAATGACTTTTTCTGGTTGCCTGTCTACACTGTTGTGTGCAGATATTGATACTGCACCATAATAAAGCAGTCAGGTATTAGTGTGTGTAATTCAACATAAAATAGTGAAGTCACTTACTCTATACCTCTCAAACTTAATGTTATTAGACTATTTCCACAAATAATTTTTAATGATTGGAAATAGAATACGTGAAGTCACCATTGTTACCTATTTAAGTAGTGTGGGTTTTGTCTATATGTAATTGGTTAACTTGTGATGGCTGTCTGTACTCAACCGGGTATGTGTATATAAATTACAAAATACATATCTATTTGAACATAAATGTTAAGTAACAGCAGGTTGTTTTCTTCCTCCTGTTATAATTTGAAGCTCATCTTACTTCATTAATTCTGTCATAATTTGTTATAGTAGTTTGAGTTTTCTAAATATTTGCATTTGGATATGTGGCTCAGAATACATATTTAAACATTATAGCTGTATATATGTATTTTTAAAATAGATTAAATCACGGAAAAGGACTTGAAATACAAGTTTATACTAAATTTTCAACTGTATGAAAATACATTTTAAGATATTACTTTGCTAATAATTTAATTTTTTTCCTATTTAAGAAATAAATGGTTTGTGGTTCACAGCTTTCATTCAGGCTTGATGATAATCAACTTTGAAAATACAGTGAGCAAAAAACAGTTTTATTCCAGAAAAGACTTAATTTAAATCTCTGTATTGTCCATTTTTGTTGCAGTTTGTAAATATGTAACAATTATAGTTAAATAGGACAAAGCGGACTATGTTTTGAAAAATTAAAATAATATATAAATAATTCAGAGGGTTTTTTTTTTTTTTTTTCCATTTACTTTTAAAAGGAAAAAGACATTTCTTGAAACAAATGTTGGGTCTATAGAATGACACCAATCAGTTTCTTATAGAATTAAAAAAAAAAAAAATCAACAAACTGACTTCACTTATTTCTGTCAGTATTTAAAATCTTTTCAAGCTCCTTATAAACTCACTGTGGTTTTTGAGTGCTGTTGAGTTGGTTCTGACTCACAGTGACCCTTCTATATACAACAGAAGGAAATGCTGTCCAGTCCTGTGTCATCCTCACAATTGTTGTTACCTTTGAGCCCATTATTGCTACTATTGTGTCAACCCCTCTTGTCGGGCATCTTCTTTTTCATTGATCCTTCTCCAGGGATTGGTCCTTTCTGATACATAATGTGTCTAAAGTAGCAGAGACCAACTCTAGCTACCTCATGAAATGGTTGAGCATCAACCAGTTGTTTTTGGCACAATGACTGCATGTTCCTTCCATCTTCTTTTTTTTTTTTAAGTTTTTATTGTGAATTATATGCTAGTTTACATGGGAGAACATTAGCTTTACATTCATCCTATCGTATTTTGTTTCATTGCAATGATCACAATTCCCTGCATACATCATCAAACAGCCAAATGGTACACCCCACAAGCCTGCCCCTTGGCCGCCAACACACAGACCCTTCCAGAGTCCAGAGTCCCCAGTTGCTCCATCTCTCCATGTCATTGTCTCTACCCGCCATCTCTGGCATCACTGCTTCTCTGGATTGGGTCCCGCACTCCGTTCTTGTCCCTTGATGGTTGGTCCCAGGGTCCTCTACTCCTGTTCTGCAAGATCAGCCACTCCCCTCCTCTTGTTACAAAATGTCTACCTTTACATTTGCAACACTCACAATCAGTCCTGATAGCAATTATTCACTATTGAACCACAGGAGTCTTATCCCCATCTCCATCCATTCACCAGCCCCATCCAGACAGGTTGGAAATCACTCAGTGAAGATTCTACCTTCCCCTGTACCCTCTGAAATAAGGCTCCCTCTTGAAAGCTTGTAAGCCAGTCACTTCTTGCCGTTGTAAACCCCTCCTCCACCCCCATTTTGGGAGCCAATGAATTTCACTTGCCCATCCCTGTCAACCCTGAGACCCAGAGTGAGCCTCACTATAAATATTTGTTACCTCTTTTGAGCTACTACATCCACAAGCAGATTCTTCTTTTTTCTCTCTTCTAATTGAGTTCTAATCATCCAGCTTTTAAAGCCAGGTCAAGTGGGTACTGTCTGCAAGTATGAGTGTTCTTTCCTTCCATCATCTTTTGATGCTTCCTGAATGATTCAATATTTTGCCCATAGAATTCTTCAGAATTGCAAGTTTGTTGTTAAATGCCATCAAGTCAGTTTTGACTCTCAGCGATCCTAATAAGAGTTTCCAGGGAGCAGCTGGTGAGTATGAAATTCTAACCTTGTGGTTCAAACCGACCTTACGGTTGAGTGTTTATGCCATAGTGCCACAGCAAGTACAGGTTTAAATGTTTTCTTCACTTTTTCCAACTTGAGAAATGCTGAGCACATTCTTCCCTTTTGGTTTTCTAACTCCATGTCTTTGCACATTTCATTGTAATAATTTATTTTAAGCCACCCTTAGAAATCTTAGATTCAGCTCTATGACTTCTTTATATTTTCTTGTCACTTTTGCTTCTCCATGCTCAAGAGCAAGTTTCAGAGCTTCTTCTGATACCCATTTTGGTCTTTTCTGACTTTTTAGTGACCTTATGCTGTCTTCACATACGATGTTCTTGATGCCATCCCGTAACTTTTGATTTTCAGTCATTAGTTTCTAATGTATCACATCTCTTGAGATGGTCTCTAAATTTAGGTGGGATATATTCAAGGTCATATTTGCCGCTTGTGGATTTGTTTTCATTTTCCTCAGCTTCAGCCTGAACTTGCTTATGAGCAGTTGATCGTCTGTTACACAGTTGGCCCCTGGCCTTGTTTTGCCTGATGATATTAATGTAAAATGGCATCATTTATATGACATTTTATTAATATATCTTGAGGACTGACAAAAATATAGAAGGTAAATGCCTCCTCAACACTACCTATATTTGTGTGTGTATGGTGTGTGAACATTTTATTGTGGTTTGGGTGAAAGTTTACAGAGAAAAGTAGTTTCATATTCAATGGTTTGTACATATTTTGTTTCATGACATTAGTTGCAATCTCCTCAGTATAACAGCACTTTTCCCACTTCCTCCCTGGGTTCCTTATTTTCAAGGTTCTTGTTTCATACCTGCCCCTTCCTGCTCTCTAAGCTTTATTTTTGAGCACATGCTGCCCTGTTGTTACATATGGTTGATTGCTCTGAAGAGTATGTTTCTCATGGGTATTATTGTTCATTTTGTAGGCCTATCATTTCACTGAAAAGTGGTATCTGGGAGTGGGTTCAGTTCTAGGATTGAAGAGTACATTCTGGGGAGTTCCATCAATCTCTATTAGACTAGTAAGCCCGATCTGTTTTCACAATTTTGAATTTTATTCTACTTTTTTCTCCCCTTTATCCAGAACCTTCTTTTGAGATCCTAATCAGAATGGTTGATGTTGTTGTTGTTGTTATGTGCCAAGGAGTCGATTCCGACTCATAGCGACCCTGGACAGGGTT